GGGGTCGTGCACTATTGGGGATCGTGACTTAGTCCGTCCCGGATGACTATTTTATCACGTATTTGACTAAAATCTATTTTATATCATCATGTTTTGGGTTGAACGCCATATTTGGGCATCGTGCCAACTATTTGAACCCTTAGGGGATTTTTATTGATATTTCCCCACTGTTTTGATTTTATACTTGAACTCAATCATGCTATGTTCCACTGTTTTCATAACTCAGCTATATTTACTTTATTTTAACACTTAAATGATCTTTTAAATGATATTTTTGGGCTAAGAATTATGTTTTACTATTGCTCGGGTGGATTGTAAGGATTTTGACTGAGTAAGGCCGAGGGCCTATGTTGTGAGGAAACACTGATTATGATTATGAGGCCGAGGGCCTGAGATATGTACGCCACGAGGTGGCTTGTTGATATGAGGCCGAGAGCTTAGTGATGATGGCACGAGATGACTTGATATTGCGCTTGGGCCGTAAGGGACCCCTCCAGGAGTATGCACACCCCCATTGAGCACGTGTACCCATTGTGATGTGAGATGTAGCCCGAGGGGCTGGTATTGTTCTAAGATATTGCCCGAGGGGCAGAGTTGTTGACATTGTGCCCGAAGGGCGAACCCTTATGTGTTTATCTTTCTTATTTGTCTGTCATTACCTGTTTAATTGTTGAAAAGGTATTTCATGAAGTTTTAAACCGAACTTAAATGACTTTACATATCTTTACTAATTCACTATTTTTACTGGTTTTACTGCTTTATTATAGCCTGTAATGTGCCTTACGTGTTTTCATACTTCTCAGTCATTTATTTATGATTATCACTCACTGAGTTTGAGTACTCACTTTACTCCCTGCACCCCGTGTGTAGAATCAGGCATTGTTGATCCTGCCAGCGCGAGTTGAGAGCTCCCAGGAGACTTCGGAGTCCACGAGGTAGCTGCTTGGCGTCCGCAGACCCATGTTTCTCCCCCTTTATCTCATTTCTATCTCTTTAGCATTTGTTCTATAATAGTTTAGTAGGCATTTCAGACTTGTAGCGTATTTTTAGATGCTCATGACTAGTGACACCCAGGTACTGGCTGCGTTGGGTTTATCTTCCGCAACTGTACTGTTAACTGTTCACTTTTGGATTAATTATCATGTTTTAGATTTAAATTCGTATTGTTTGACTGCTTAAAACTGAAATGGGAAGTGTCGGCTGGCCTTGTCTTCATGAGAGCCGTCATCACGACGGGGTTCGGGTTTAGGGTTGTGACACATATACAGGCAAAATGCGGTACATATAGATACACTTTCGATACGGATTTAATAATACTCTCATTTCTATCTGAAATGATGCACATGTTTTCCCTGTCACCGTATGCTATCTTGAATTGCTTAAAGAACCATGTCCAAGCAGCATTGTTCTCTGAATCAATAACACCATATGCTAGTGGCAATTTATGACCTGTAAAGACAATTGCATACATATTTTTAAAATTTGTATTTCAATCTTTACAGTATTAACAAAATTTATTATAATTCACGTACTCACCTGCACCATCCAACGTGCTGGCCGAGACAAATGTCCCAGTGTAGTAAGATTTTAGGTGACTTCCATCCACAACCACAATGGGTCTACAATGATCAAACCCCTTTATAAAGGCATACAAAGATATATACATATAGATGAATTCATTTTGGGCAATTTTACCATTCTAATGTGCGAACCTGGATATGTCATATCCATTGAATATAAGTATCCTGGTAATTTTTTGTATGAATCAGCCGGTTCACCTCTCAAAAAATTCATTGCCTTTTCTTTAGCTCGCCACACCACATGTAACTAACATCTACACCTAAATCTGATTTCACATCATCAATAATATCCTTTGGGGTATATTTCTTCTTATGATTAGTAAGCTTGGTCCTAATCATACCACCTATAAGGCTGCTACTTACGTGTTGTTGCTCATACACATTGTCCTTCAACGGACATGTATGCTTATCAATGAATTCTCTTACTTTGAATAGTTCTAATTTGTTAATGCTCGAAGCCTTAAACCTCCATTCACAATCTTCTGACATACATAATAATGCATAGCTGAAAAGAATATATCATTATACAAATGATTAGAATAAATACTTACAAAAAACTCACTCATATACAGATGAATACAAATACGCCTATAGTTATTTGTGCAAATAATACAACTGAATACATCTATAGTTATATGCATACATTTATATACAACTAGTAAACCAAAGAGGAAATCAATGAGAGCCAATGTAATAAGTTTATACTAAAATACACAAGAATATATGTATCTTAAGACCATAAAAAAATAGTTAACAACATTAGTGAAGATCAATTGTCTTACAAATATGCATAAACACATCAACATATAACTTACAACTCCAACCATGAATACAATATACAACAAAAATAAAGAATAATAAAATACACTCAAACCTGACAGAATTAGACCCATCAACCCAGAATTGAAATCTTTGAGATATAGCATAATGCTCCATTACCTCTTTCAATGTAGCCTTATCCTTATATACTCGTCCAGCCATAACCTCCATTTGATTAGTTTTTGAAATTATCAAATCCTTGTCCAGTTCGAACACCCCAATTGCTTGTCCTGAATTGACAAAATCTAGAGCAAGTGTATCATTTGTATCGGAATCATACTTTTGAACTGCTTCGTCTATTTGCACAATATCGCCTTGAATTAAACTACCTCCGGATACAAGTTCTTTTTCAATCGTTGTTATGCACAAATGATACATCCCGAATTCTCTGTTCTCTTTTTTCAACTCTACATACACCCTGTAACCCATATCATTGTGTATTTCCATTGGCGTGCAATTTCCTTCTACTTTGTATTAAATTTTAATGGACTTTGAGCTCAAATCTATGCCCAGTTGATTAGATATTGACACAACCAAATCATTATACGACGCATACTCCTTTATCAGTATTCCCTCAATTGAATAATCGACGTAATTGGTCTCACTGTTCCACTTGCCAGAATGCCTCAACAACACTGTTAAACTTTCCATATACAATTGTATCAATCGCAATTTTTCGTTGTTGAAAAGTGAACTGGGTACACACTGGAACTACAGAAAAAAGGAAGAACTTAAAATCTAGATGTTGCTCTGCTTTAGGTTATTTTTCCGATTGAATAACTTTCGTGAATGGAGGAATACAGATTTACGGGCAATAGTTTGTGTTAGTTGATATATATGAGGATAATATCAAGTAAATTGATTTCCTTTCTGTTTTAAACCAGTTGAAAGGTACATATTTTACGCAAAATACGTTACTGTATTTTGGAATATACCTCGTAAATACAATTGAATACATCTGAAGATTAGCTGGACTTCCCTGATTCACGCCTATTTTTGCTACTGTATTCATGAATACATTAGCTTAAATACATCAAATACATCTTATAACCACAGAAAAGGTATCTATAAACCGTAATATAGCAAATGGTATCTATAGATGACTAATTAGTACTAAAAGATAGTGTTTTATGAAAAATTTTCATTATTAAAATGAAAAAAAGAGAATATTGAAAAGAAGTACTTGTATCGTTGCATTAACTAATAAGTCGGAAGATTGTGGTCCCACGTATTAACGTGCAATACGTGATGTTAAAGGAAAGCTTTAAAACCATGAGGCGTGCGCACGTGATATTTTTAAAAACTATTTAGAGAAGGTAAATATATAGGTGCACGTTAACTGAGATTTTTTTTTTAAAAAAATAATAATAATAATTTTGCACATATTGTTCGGTACTTACTTGTTCTGAACCCGATTAATTTAAATTCGTGATAGAAGCTCCACTTTGGCTTTCAACTAAAAATAATTTCATTTCTAGGACTCAAAACTGAAATATTTAATTAAGAATGAAGTATTGATCACCCACAATCTTTGCTGGTGTTAACTACGCTTTCGCAGTTTATATATGTATTCTGGCAGCCCCATGACATGCTGAGCTGCGAATAATAATTGCAATTTCCAGGAGCTACACATATAGAGTTTCACAAACTTGTAATATGGCAAGTATATATACAAGAAACTTTACATTGAAGTTGATGGGAGCATACCATATTGTTTCTAAAAGAAAGAAAAGAGAGAAGACAAAACAAAACAAAGAAAAGTCAAAGAAAGAAGACAAAAGAAGTATAAAATAGACAAAGAGAAAAGCAATGTTTGTGTGTGGAAAAAAAAGTAATATGAAGCAGAAAGTTAGTGGAAAGAATTCATCTTTGAATTATTTTCTTATGACATAAGTGATTACGTCGGCAAGACATTCAAATGCCTATAAAAGGGGTCTTTATTTTCATTTGCAAATTATCCCTCAACTTCTTCTTTCTCCTCAATTAAGAAGAGTTATTCTTTGTATGACCGTGGAGTAGGTAAAAATTATCGAACCACGTAAATTTTGTCCTGTGCAATTTATTATTTTTCTCTTTTAAATATTGTTCACTTCTATTAGCCTGATACGCTTCCCAACAGCTAGTATCAGAGCAAGATAGTGCAATTCTGGTAGAAAAGTACGGAATTCGTACACTACAAAAAAGTATAGAATTGGCAACAATAATAATATTGTTGCAAAATACAATAAATGGCAACAACTTTATTTAGTTGTTGCGATATCATCGAATTTTTTACCCATAATTTTTTTTGTTAGCAAAAGTTTTAATATTGTTGCCATATTTAACAAATAATACAATAAATTTTAAATAAATATAAATTAGTAACGACTTTTTACCAACAATACTGTGGTTGTTGGGTAAGTTTAATAAATAGCAACAACGTGATTAGATTTTTGTTATATCATAGAATTTTTAACAACAAGTATTTTCTTGTTACCAAATTGTTTAGATTGTCGTTGCTATATATTAGGAGTAATACAATAAATATAAAATATTAAAATAATTGGCAACAACAAATATTAGTTGTTGCTATTACATAAAAGTTTGTGGCCTAAAATTTAGTGAATTACTTTTAGTTTTCCGCCAAAACAAACGCGCCAAAACAGGTTTCCTTATTCTATTACTTTTTCTCCAAATTCTTAGCCCACAATTTTAGTTTCCACTGCAGCTAGGTTTTCTCTTTTCTTATTCTGCTAAACTAAGTTCTTGCGTGTATTCCATTCTTCGATCTCCATCGCTGTGTTCTACCCAAAATCTGGTGAGTTCTCGATTTTGATTTCGTTTTTAATGTTTGGTGCTTTCTGCTTTTGATTTAGCTTAAATCGTATTCTTCTTCTTCTTAGGTTTTCTCATTTCAGTTATTGTGCTAAACTTAATAAGGTTTCTTCTTAATTCTTAATCATATTCTGCTTTTGATCTCTATTCCGTTTTTTTCTTTTTTATGATTTTGGACTAAAAAATAACTGATTTTTTATTGGGTGTTATGGTTATTTGGATTTGGTTTTGGCATTATTAGTTTTAAGCGTTATCTTTAATTATTTTTTTTGCCTAGAAGGTACGAAAGTACTGTTGCAAAACTCCAAAGTTTTGGAATAGAGAACAATATGATTTTGTTTTGGGTTGTATGGGTAGTTGAATTTGGTTTTGGCATATTTGAGCATTGTCCTTGATTTTTCTTTTCACTTAGAAGGTCCTTCAAATGTGAAAATTCAATAGCAAATATGATTAGGAAGTCCCACATAAATATGTCATCAAGTAACTCAAATTACCATGCCTAATGGAATCACTTTAAATTTTTTAGTTAATCAGATATGCTTTGCTTAAAATATAAACTATTTATTCTCCTTAGTTTTAGTTTTCAAAGCTAAAATCTAGATCTTCTTTACTTTTAGTAGTAGCAGATGCATTGTCTATTTTTTAGGAACTTTAGATTCTTTTTTTTCACTTGCTATCTTTTTTTGTTGTTACTTTTTCAAGATGCTACTCATCTTCCTTTGCTTCGGTGGCTATTAGTTCAAATTAAATGTTTTATTTTAACTATTTTCTATTATAGAGTCTTCTCTAACTTGTGTTTTGTACAATAAAATGGAGAGAAAGTTAATTATATAGTTTTATATTTCTTGTTTTATACTATTTCATTGTAGGTAAGTATATGATGGAGTGAGCGTTGAAGCACATCCTCTTAATAATGAGGAAGAAGTAGATTTAGAAATTGGGGATGAATCTGATCATGAAAATGAGGATGACTTTAGTAATTTTGCAACAGATAAAGAATGTGTTTCTGAGGAAGAATATAATGAAAATGAGGATGATGATTGGTTGTGATCTTCAGCTAGTCTTCAAGACAACTTTGCTTATTTCAATCGCTTTCTTCACATGACTTCTGTTTCTCATTATTTCTGAACATATCTTACCTTTTTCTTATTATTTTACTGCCTTCACTTCCACTTTGACTAATGTGCAATAATATAATTTTTAAAAAAATATATTACAGCCTATCATGACAACATATGTGCATGTTTCTAATAATACTGAACTTGTTGCCGATGTAGTTTCAAATTCACAGTTAGGTAAGTTATTTCATTTATTAAAATTCTAGCCTTTTAAAATTCCTAGCACATTCCCTATGTCAGTGACCTTCAGTCTTTGGGGGGGGGGGGGGG